ATTCAATGGGGACAAAATATTAGTAATGATCAAGGCCACTGTATTTACGTGACTTGGCTGCTTCCCGGTGATTGGAAGCACCTCCTGCTTGTGTAGCACTGAAGTCAACATAGGTGTTAGCTAAAGTTGAAACTCATATCTAGTCCCACACCATCTGTCTACCATTCTTCCAAGGGTTCACCGCGATCCCGTTTGGGCGACCGACAGGCTCATCAGAGTTGCGGGACATTAGGTAACGGGGCTCTTTATCTCTGCTGGACAACCGGCTGTGGTAAGGCTTCTCTTAATAATGTCGTTAACCTCGCCATGTCTTGTATGCCATCCTCCTGTCCTTTGGCAGAGGCCATGCCGTCCGTACCTGTCGGCCACTGCCTCGCCGCAAATACACCTGTATTCGGTGTGGATTGGGGCAGCGAGGCGGAGAGCCACAGCAATTTCGAGGGCCTGAGGTGTGAGACGAGTACCAGTTGCTGACATTGGAGTTGCTAATAGGAAGTCACCTGCATGGGTAGCTGCTACAGCTCTAAGTCGGGCAGTATCATGTGGTGATGTCGCAGCTTCTATCAATGTCGCAGCTTCTTAGTCATCAATGGGACGATCCCAGCTGGATTGCTTATGGGCTTCAAAAAGCGATGGTTGGGGTGCTGGTCCTGCAAGAGTTACCCATTTGGTGGTGCAGTCTGTAAAGCTGGGATCATGTACAAAGCAAATACTATTCATAATTTTAAAACTAGGTATGAGAGGGAAATGGGACAGGAGTCATTGCTGTAAACAACCGATGCTCGAAAGGCGAGATCCAAGAGTCAGTGCTCGATCCTGCTGACACAATTAGATGAGTACAATTAGGTGAGTACACACACACAAACACACACTGGCGGGACGCGAACAAGGGGACACAGGTGGAAGCTGAGTACCCAAATGAGCCACAGAGACATTAGAAAGAACTTTTTCAGAGTCAGAGTAGTTAGTAAATGGAATGCACTAGGAAGTGATAAGGTGGAGGCTGACTCCATACACAGTTTCAAATGTAGATATGATAGAGCCCAGTAGGCTCAGGAATCTGTACATCAGTTGATTAACGGTTGAGAGGCGGGACCAAAGAGCCAGAGCTCAACCCCCGCAAACACAACTAGGTGAGTACACACACACACACACACACACACACACACACACACACACACACACACACACACACACACACACACACACACACACACACACACACAAGCTCGAGAGGCAGGCGGGGGTGGGGGGAAAGGTCCTAGAATGGATAAGGAACTACCTAACAGGAAGGAGCCAAAGAGTTACGGTAAGGGGCGAGAAGTCGGACTGGCGAACAGTAACAAGTGGAGTACCACAAGGATCGGTGCTGGGACCAATTCTATTTCTTGTATATGTTAACGACATGTTTACAGGCGTAGAGTCCTACATGTCGATGTTTGCGGATGATGCAAAGTTGATGAGAAGAGTTGTGACAGATGAGGATTGCAGGATCCTCCAAGAGGACCTGAACAGATTGCAGAGATGGTCAGAGAAATGGCTACTAGAATTCAACACGAGCAAATGTAAAGTTATGGAAATGGGACTAGGAGATAGGAGACCAAAGGGACAGTACACAATGAAGGGGAACAGCCTACCTGTAACGACGCGTGAAAGAGACCTGGGGGTGGACGTAACACCTAATCTATCTCCTGAGGCACATATTAATAGGATAACGACAGCGGCGTACTCTACACTGGCAAAAGTTAGAACATCATTCAGAAACCTAAGTAAGGAGGCATTTAGGGCGCTTTACACTGCCTACGTAAGGCCAGTCTTAGAGTATGCCGCCTCATCATGGAGTCCCCATCTGAAGAAACATATAATGAAACTGGAAAAGGTTCAGAGGTTTGCAACGAGACTCGTCCCAGAGCTACGAGGGATGGGGTATGAAGAGCGCCTGAGGGAATTGTGCCTTACGACACTAGAAAGAAGAAGGGAGAGGGGGGACATGATAGGAACGTATAAGATACTCAGAGGAATTGACAGAGTGGACATAGACGAAATGTTCACACGGAATAGTAACAGAACGAGAGGACATGGATGGAAGCTTGAAACTCAGATGAGTCACAGAGATGTTAGGAAGTTTTCTTTTAGCGTGAGAGTAGTGGGGAAATGGAATGCACTTCAGGAACAGGTTGTTGAAGCAAATACTATTCATAATTTTAAAACCAGGTATGATAGGGAAATAGGACAGGAGTCATTGCTGTAAACAACCGATGCTCGAAAGGCGGGATCCAAGAGTCAATGCTCGATCCTGCAGACACAACTAGGTGAGTACAACTAGGTGAGTACACACACACACACACACACAATAGAAGACCAATCCTGGAGTATGTGGCCCCAGCATGGAGCCCGTACCTTGTCAAGGACAAAATGAAGCTGGAAAAATTTCAAAGGTATGCCACTAGGCTAGTCCCAGAACTAAGAGACATGAGCTACGAGGAAAGGCTGGGTAAGATGAACCTCACGACATTGGAAGATAGAAGAGTAAGGGGAGACATGATCACCACCTACAAAATTCTCAGAGGAATTGACAGGGTAGATAAGGATTAACTTTTTAATACGGGTGGTACGTGAACAAGGGGACACAGGTGGAAACTGAGTACCCAAATGAGCCACATGGACGTTAGAAAGAACTTTTTCAGTGTCAAAGAGTAGTTAACAGATTGAATGCATTAGGCAGTGATGTGGTGGAGGCTAACTCCATACACAGTTTCAAATGTAGATATGATAGAGCCCAGTAGTGTCATTTTGAGGCAATGCGGCGACTCGAACCTGTGTTCTGATGAATTCCAGACGGTAAATCCCTAAATGAATCGGCCACGATGGTGCAAAAGCCGATCAACCAGGAACTTACTGAATTCACTGGGAGTTTATTATTACATACATAAGAGTGTGGTCGGGTTGACTGTAAGACCTTGGTTGGGCTCTGGTTTGGGGCCTCCAGTACCTTCAAGAATCTTAAAGGCTCTATCTTGAACCTGAGGTTCCAAAATAGGTTAAATACTGACAGTGGTTCGTGATATTTATTTCACACATGTGAGGAAATATTTTTGGTTTTTCTTTATATCTTGTATTGCTTTCTGTTCTAGTTGCATTTCTTCAATCTGATATGATTGCTTCAGTCTCTGCTCTATTTCTTCAATCTCCCTGTATAAATTATTCCTTCTTTGTAGGGATAATCGCATCTGATTAAGCATTTCCGTGATTTTTTTTCATTCTTTTGCATTGTCGTCTGCGTTCTCTTTCTACGTTGGTCCTCTTTCTGGCTTTCCGCAAAGGAACATGTTTCAGACAGACTTTATATGCGTTAGAAGTCAGTTGTTCTATTCCTTGTGTGGGATTTTTATTACTTAGAACAGTTTCCCATTGAATGTTTGTAAGTTCCCTGTATTTTTTCCCGTCTATCCCTTTATTATTAATATTTAATTTATTGAATAACCCCTCTCGCTTGATTATTTGTTTAGGCCTATTACGAGTATTGAAGTCAGTTTGCACTTCAATATGATCTGAGTAAGTGGTATCTATGATTGTAATATCCCGGATTAAGTCGTCATTGTTAGTGAAGATCAGATTTAGAATATTTTCGTTGCTAGTCGGCTCCGTTATCTGTTGGTGAGTGAAAATTTGTCCCAGAATCTAAGTAGTTATCTGACCTGCAGTAGGTTATATCCAGATGCATTTCCTGGTATAATATTATTGTTTGCAATTCTCCATTTTAGACCGGGCAGGTTGAAGTTTCCTAGGAAAATAATATCAGGTATTGAGTTTGCCAGATTATTGATGCTATTCTCTATTTTTGTTTATCTGTTCTGTGAATTCCTAAACCGTTGCATCTGGTGGTTTGTATATTAGAATAATAACAAAGTTTATTTTATCCATGTTTGCTTATTACATAATAAGTATTTATTACTAATTACATTGCATAAGTAATGTTGTACTTCTACCACAATTGTAGAGTTAAGGAGCTTCGAGCATACAAGGTTCTCTCTAATATGCAAACCTACTCCACATGTAATCTGTTTACTCTATAACATCTATATTGCTTATATTCTGGTATTCAGATTCCGCTGTCCAAGAATTCCTTGCATAGGTTTCCGTGAAAGCTTCAAATACTGCATTTACTCCTTTGAGGAGGCCATTTATGAAGGGTTCTTTGCTTTTTACCTTTGTTTTTATTCCTTGTATGTTGGAGAAGATGAATGAGGTTACTGTAGTTGGTGTATTTTGACTGGAAGGTTTTTCAGGCAGGTTCGCTATGCGTGATGAGCATTTCGGATTTATTCTGTTCAGTACTACATACTGGACTGCTGTCCAGTACTGTCCATTAACTTTATCAGTGTTTCGTGTATCTGTTTATTCAGTCTCATATTGAAAGATTTCGTTTAGTTTGGTGACATTCATCGGTCGGGCTGAACGTTAAGGCTACTGTGTTATCGGCTCTCTAGGTATGATGTTCTTCAAGGACTTAAGTTGCTTGGCTGCTTCTTTGTATGTGACAGTAAGCGCTGTCTTACTATGAAATTTGGCAACTAGATTGCTTTTCTTACTACCGATATTAAGAAAATAATTAGAAACACATAAAACTTTCACTTTAAGATCAATAACGCCATTAATGTGATCATATTTAACAAAATATATATTAAAAGAACGCTTCCTCCTCATGTATACAAATATATATATGAATAGATATATATTCATACATTCTGTTACATAAATGAATACGATGGTATCCATTGAGAATTGGTGTAGATTGGTGTGACGCCATACAGGTAGTGTCGAGGGCCAGAGACCGCAACCTCATCATCGTCGGTACGGAAACCCTTTGAAATGTAACAAAAACTGTGGCGGTCTGGTATGTATGCTACCCAAGGTCGTCAACTGGTAGCCCCGTGTTGGGGGCTGGGGGATCACGCCCCGGTATATAAGGCGGGTCCCAATACCACCTTGGCACAACACCATCCTCCTCCATCCGCTATGGTACGTCTCCCTTGGAGGTTCTAGTCTGGGTAGCACAGGGCATACTCAACAGAGCAACGTTGCTAACTTGGCCCTTACTTAATTCTACCTTGTTGAACTGCTTGTTTGTGAAGGAGTTTATTACTAAGTGTTTAACTCTTCCTCAGACGTTGCTGGTGATCACCGCGGCCGCTGCCCTTCTGGTGGGCTCCTGCAAAGCTGGTGGAGCCTACTACAGTGCCCGGTCTCTAGGAGGGTTCTCCGGTGGACAAGTCGGTGGCTTCGGAGGTGGCTTGTCCTCCGGCGGTCTTGGAGGCTTCGGCGGTGGCTTGTCCTCCGGCGGTCTTGGGGGCTTCGGAGGTGGCTTGTCCTCCGGCGGTCATGGGGGCTTCGGAGGTGGCTTGTCCTCCGGCGGTCTTGGGGGCTTCGGAGGTGGCTTGTCCTCCGGCGGCTTTGGCGGAGGATTCTCCGGCTTGGGTCATGGTATCAAGGTTTCTCCCGGCATCGGGGGACTCGTTAAGTCGTCTACCAGCCTTGGCTTGGGTCACGGAGGCTCCTTGGGAGGTATTGGAGGTTACAGCTCCATCGGTGGCCACGGAGGATCCTTGGGAGGTATTGGTGGTTCCTTGGGAGGAATTGGTGGTTCTCTAGGTGGCCACGGAGGTTCCTTGGGAGGTATTGGAGGTTCCATCAAAGGCCACGGTGGTTCCTTGGGAGGAATTGGCGGTTCCTTGGGAGGTATTGGAGGTTCCATCAAAGGTCACGGTGGTTCCTTGGGAGGAATTGGTGGTTCCTTGGGAGGTATTGGAGGTTCCATCAAAGGTCACGGTGGTTCCTTGGGAGGAATTGGTGGTTCCTTGGGAGGTATTGGTGGTTCCTTGGGAGGTATTGGAGGTTCCATCAAAGGCCACGGAGGTTCCTTGGGAGGAATTGGCGGTTCTCTCGGTGGCCACGGAGGTTCCTTCGGTGGAATTGGAGGTTCTCTTGGTGGCCATGGAGGTTCCTTCGGAGGTATTGGAGGTTCCATCAAAAGCCACGGTGGTTCCTTTGGAGGCCACGGTGTGCGTGGTGGCCTCTATGGTTGAGAAAATAATAAATCTGAGAGGTAATTACACATAAGAATCTGATTGTGAATATTCTGATTAGTCACCAAAAGTATTAATAAAACTTAAAATATTTTGCAAAATATTATCTGTTATTATACCTAATATTTACATTTTTTATGTGTACTGTGACGGTAACGCGTTGGTGTTCGGCTGTTTCAAAAGCTAGGGGTATGGCCTCGTCACATAAAGAAACAAAAAGAGAAAATATGGAACTTTCGTCTGTGGTAAGGTAATGGGAAGACACACAAAACACAAGTAAATTTAACAATGAAATTTTAATTACGTTAGAAAAGCAAAACATGAATAAAATGGACATAAAATTGTAACATAAATCAATCAAACAAAATAATAAGAATAATCACTGGCAAAATGAAAAGTTACGTTAATACAAGTGAATAATATCAAAGTGAATAATATACAAGGAGATATATGGTTGCAGGAATATTGGCTTTAAGCTGCCACCTCTCTTAGTACACGTAAGCCAGGGCTTAGTCTACCAATGAGACGTGTTAACTTGTGGAAAGCACGGGATATTCTGAGGGCTGTAGGTCGTGGTGGCCTCAGACATCAGGTAGTGTGGCGGGTGGAGGGAGCAGGTGCAATGTACACCAGCCAATCAGCAACGTGCAGGCGACGAACAGGTAGTTCGCTGGTTTAAGTGGCGGAGGTGGAGCAGGTGTTCCTGGTGCTGAATACGTTTGCTCTCTGGCAAACCTTGGTGTTGTACTTGTTGGATATAGCATCTATATTAGTTGTTATTGTTGTTATTAGTTGTATAGGGACGTACTTAGGAGGGAAGAGCAGGCTCAATCTCTCTTGAAGGAGATTATCGTCACAGTACAAATACACAGCTTTATCTAGTAACTCCTTAACAGTGCTATAAAATCAGTTGATATCAGTGGTGTGTCTCTACTACATCAGAGGAATCAATTCCTTACTATTACTTTATTCATTATAAATTCAATAAATTATTTTTGACTAAGGCCATGTATTCGTTCTTTACAAAGATGCAGACTTTACAAAGGTGCAGACTTTACAAAGGTGCAGACTTTACAAAGGTGCAGACTTTACAAAGGTGCAGACTTTACAAAGGTGCAGTAACCCTTTTGGTTACTGTTGTTGATGGTATACATTGTGTAGGTTGAAAGGGAGTTCACATTTCCAGGGCGTTGTGCTATTCTGGTTTCCAAAAGCCCTATGATATCGAAGTGATGGGTTAATAGTTGATTAATTCTACAAGAAATGTTTCTTACCTGTTGTTCAGTGATCTTATATGATAACAGAAGGTACCGGGCTTCAGGAGGAGTGCATTGGAAAGATTGTTCACAAAAATGTTATCAGGACTACAGTAGTGCTGAACAAACGTCTGGAAAATAAAGCATGAAGCTTACAT